CACAGCCATCAGTGGAGGCTTGTGTGTTGCTGTGATGCTGAACAGGTTTCATTGAAGCTTCCAGACTAAGACAGACTAGGAGGAAAGGCCTGGTAACCTCCTTCCGAAAATCTAGTGAAAACCCTATGGATCACAACACTGCTATCTGATCTGGCTGAGCATGGTGTTGCTGTGAGTTGTGGGGAGGGGCAACTTGGTGCCAGCTAACAATCGCAACAGCTTCCATATACTTTTACTTTCAGTTAATCTGAGAATGTACCTGTGATGGAAGCACAGGTTCTTTTTTCCCAATTCTCTTTTCATAGTCTCCCTTCTTTCATTTAATGAAAGAAAAGCATACTTCTCACCCACAATATTACCGTGGTGTAAAAGGTTTGATCCCCAATAAAGGGACAATTTGAAATACTGGTGGAATGAATGACTCGGTAACTCAAATCTTTCCACAAGTACAATTCTTTGCTTTAAACAAAATTTACAGAGGGCTTAATGTAGATATCAGCTGATTATTAACATTTTTTGATAGTCCATTATGGTGTTTTGACATATGACTCAAAAGGAGTTCAAAGAATTGAGTGACAAAATAAAACTCTTATCTACTCATTTACACGAACAAGGTTTCTCAGTGCTTCATCTATAAAACAAAGAATAGGAATAGAATTGATCTCATCTCATTCTAGCAATTATTAATACTCATCTAAGGACATAAGGTTATTTTTTTTAATAAAAAATTTCATTAAGGTCTATATTTCCAATAAAATGCCATCTTTTATGTTTAATTATTACAATTTATAATTTACAATTTTTTGGTTAGGTATATGGTAATAATTGTAATATATCACAAAAAATGTATTTATCACTAAGCTTTATGGTCATAGAAAATTACAATTTTTTTCATGGTATATATATTTGATCAATTGAAGGTTTTCAAGTTTAAAATAGGAAATAACTATATGGGAATTAAATTATTAATTCAAATAGAAAAAGGAGTGAAATAAAATTTGTAACCGCTTGAGAGTTTATTCATGTCTTGATGGTTAATGGTGGGTATATTTAGATTCTGTGAGATACATTTTAAAGTGATGTAACAGTTTTATTAAAAAATGTCTAAGATACCCTGTTGAGTGCATCAATTGCACCTGTTTACGTTAAATAACATGAAATGTTCTGGATGTCAACTTTATAAATGAAGTACATACATTTTCAAAATTCTTTTAGTAGGTAAGAATGCAAAAAATGTTTGAAAACCACTAGTTTTTGATACATGCTTGTTAGGACTTTAGTTATCCTGTTTTCTATCCTTAAGTTAAAAAATCAGTTGCCATTGAGTTGATTCCAAGTCATGGTGACCCTGTGTGTGTCAAAATAGAACTCTGCTCCGTAGGGTTTTCAATGGCTGACTTTTCAGTAGATTGCCAGCCCTTTCTTCTGAGGCACCTTTGGGTGCACTTGAACCTCCAACCTTTTAGTTAGCAGATGAGTGGGTTAACTGCTTGCACCACCCTGGGACTCCTTTAGTCAAGTTAGATCACTGAAAGGCTACCCAATAATTAGGCCACACTAGTCTCTTTCAGAATCACCTTCACTGAATTGTCCTTTAAATGTTATATTCTTGGCTTTTGTGGAAGGCCATTGAAAAGGAAAAGTATTTGAAATCTGCTTAATATGTGTTGTAATGTTGAGTGCCTTTATACATTATTTAGTTTTAATACCAGGACAGTGTTTATTTTCCTCATTAATTTCCTCTTTTTGCCCACATCCTCAGAAAGTTCAGATCCACTTTTGAGCTCAGCCTTAGTATCATTATTGACCTTTTCAAAAGGAAATTTGTTTTTTCTTGTCCTTGATTTCCTATTTTTAAAAATTAATTTTTATTGCATATTTATCCATTGCAAGTATAAAAAGAGCCACCTCAGATAACTTGTTGAAAAGAGAAGAAATATAGGTTTGAAAAATAAGATTTATTTTTGTATTTTTACCAGCACCTAGAGGAATAGAATAACCCAAAAGACCCTCAAAAATTGAGTTACTTAAATACTTTTAGCTTAATACACATATTAATATAAAATTCTTTAAATTTTGATTTGAGGGCTAGCCTGTAAACAGAAGATTGATCAGAGATTGGAAACTATTAATTTTAATCTTAGAATGTGTATGTTTATCAATTTAATTTTGTAATATAAAAAACTGCTTCACTTTTTCATATATTGAAAGGGGAGGGTTCAAATATATAATACCTTTAATCTTGTCTCATACAAAAGTGTTTTCTTTTTAAGTCCTAATTTCATGACAGATTGGTAGCTATGAAATTTGGTAGAAAAACTCTGACACAAAACTGGGCATGACTTAACAGTGACTATTTTGCAGTCCCTAGGGGCAAGTGGTAATAAAATTTGCTGTGACAGATTCTGGGAAAACCAGTTAGTGTAGCTTGACAGATTACTCAACTTTACATGATACTGTTTTAGAGTACAAAATTAGTGAAAAAAATTCTGTCTTCTGATTTCAAGCCAGTTAAAACACAAAAAATAATAAAAAACCAAAGTAAGATGGAGAGAAGAGTAATGCAGCACATCTGGAATAATGCTGCTGGAGAATGAACGTCTCCATTGTCAGAAAACAGAAGTTAATTGTATACAGTATCTTTTTCTTCTAATTTTTATCTCTTGCACCAAAAACAAGTTAATGAAAAAATTCATTATTATCATAGGATCAATAGTTCTGCATGTTCCATGCCTCCCTTCTGGACTTGGCGGATTCAGGATCCATAGTTTAGAATAGTCCCAGCTACCTCCAGTCTTCTTTATAAAGAGAATCTTACAGACTCTCAAATGTTTGCTCATACAAATAATTGCAATATACTTCTATTCTACTGATGTCATTTTTGCTTCTAATACCAGCAGAGTAAGTTATTCTTTATTAAAGAACAAAAACATTAAACACCAAACAAGGTATTGTTTAGTGATACATAGTGATGCATACTAATTATACCCAGTTAGTGACAGAAGAGTTATTAATTTCCCATAAGCATTTGTGTGTTAAGCTTTTTTAGGATTGAATATTGACTATAGGTTTTTGGGGTTTCATGTATGACCTCAGAGAACCCTTTGAGTGTCATAAATCAAATGTATTCAAACCTGCTGTGCATCACAGAATTACCTGGTGAGCTTTTAAAAATACGCATTCCTGGGCCTTCCGATCCTAGAGATGGCATCATAGGTGGTTATTTTGTAGGCGGCCAGTCAAGGTTCGTGCATTTCTGAATTAAATGATTTATTTTAAAATATATAAAGATAAGAAAGCTAGATACTTGGGAAATAATATTTTTAGAGTCATCTGAGATGAATATATCTTTTAAAGGTAAGCACGTACATTGGGAGAAAATTGAGTGAGAAAAGGAATGACAAGCCTGCCCAATACAAAGGGGAGGGCACATGGGCACATTTAATAGTGGGTCCAAGTAATACTGTAATTTTAATAATTGTCAGATTAATTTACGATGATGCTTACCTTTCCAGGCATGATAGTGTTTAAGCAGAGGTTACAAACTCAATGCCTACAGGGCCCTGGCAGGTAATGCAAATGTGAGTGTTGAGGAATGTTGCAAATGGAGAATCCTTGACTCCTCTGTTGGGCAGCCATTACTAATCAGTCATAGCGTTTTGCCAGACAAGTCCAGTATTTCTAAATCTTTCAGTTTTTCAGAGAAACTGGAATTCTGGATTTTTATATGAAGTCCAAAAAATTTAAAATGTTGGCTTAATTTTTTAAAAAACACTAAGAACCAAACAAAACACATCTTTGGGTTAGACTTGGTTCACCTGCCACCAATTTGCTATCTTAGTTTTAGAACAGTGGTTTTTCAAGTGCGGTCCCAGGACCAGCAGCATCAGCATTACCTGAGACTTTAATAGAAATGCAAAATCCCAGGCCTTATCTCAGATCTATTGAATCAGAATCTCTAGGGGTGAAGCTCAGTAATCTGTGTTTCAGCAAGCGCTCTGGGTAATTCTGATACATGCTCAACTTTGAGAACCACTGTTTCAGAATATGGAAGTTTATATTGCAATTTCTATCTGGAGATGGTGATAAAGATAAAAGTTCACAGAATTTCCTGTAAATCTATCATTTATATATTTACATAAAATATATCAGATGTATATTGTTTTCAGATATATATGCCCTTTTATTTATTTTTGCCTGAATCAGAACACACAATGATTACATTTAGGGTTTTGTTCCTTTTCTTTCTTTTTTGTTCTTGTTAGGGTATTGCATATCAATTTAATAGCAATTCTATGCCACATTTTGACTTCACTAGAACATATCATATATGTACTGGTTGATTAAAAATAGGTAAGTATGTTGCTTGGCTTTCCGAAGCTTCAATTTTAAGTCTTTTCTTTAAAAGTATTAAATGTGATATATGTTAAAAATAAGGAATACTTCCTATTTATCAGATTTTTTCAAAATTGAGTTCTGTTTGTTGGAATTAGAAATTCTGTTTCTAATTATTTATATATAAAAAGGGAAGGCTAGCTTATGTGGCTTTATATAAGTCTGGCCTCCTAACAGCTGATCAGGTTGTTTTGTTTTGTTTTTTTTTTGGTGCTCTGGTATGCTAAGATTTTCCTCCATTAGCATGTAGAAATGATTGCTATCCTGACTGATGCAATTAAAGTTCTCCTACCGTTTGTATAACCCAACCTTAAACATGTTTGTTCACTTAGAAGTGTCTGGCTAATCAAATTAATTATGAATGTTATATAGAAAGAATTTGTATACATTTATGCATGTATACAAATTTTTTTCATTTATTAGAAAACTTCATCTATGTCTTATATAATAAAATCCTTAAAAATATACTTTAGAGTATTTAAAATGCATTAGATAAACTGAGAAGTTGGGAGTAATATAATTAAAGAATATTGAATTTAAAAATGAATCCATCTCCTAGTGTTTATATATAATACTTATTAATGAAACTACACTTGTATTCACAGGGTAAACCAGACTTGAATACAACATTGCCAATTAGACAAACAGCATCAATTTTCAAACAACCCGTAACCAAAGTAACAAATCATCCTAGTAATAAAGTGAAATCAGACCCACAACGAATGAATGAACAGCCACGTCAGGTAAGGATCTAATTGGTTCTTCAAACTCATTTTTCAGAAAATTCTGGTATTTTTACCAGACACAGTTCAAGTAAATTCTGGTTAAAATGGAATATATTTAGAAAGAACATTATTTTCTATTCTAGGCTATTATGTGATTATGGGAGAATAACTATAATAACATAAAATTTAGATAAAATGTTTTAAGAATTTAATATTAATTAAAAACTAAATTTAACATTGTGGACTACATTTTTATTGTTTTTATGTGGTAACATACATCAGACTTGGTTCAGCTAATTTTAATTTTTTAAAGATTACCTTTCTAAGGATAATATTTTGTAGAGGGATGAAGCATGCAGTTTGTGTTGCTTAGTTTAAAATGATTTTCTATTATATATTTGGAAACTGCTTTTTGTTCTGATTTCTTATTCCATAAAATCTGTCCCTACCCTTTTGAAAAACATAATTGAATAACGTTTGTCAATATAGTATATTGTCCTGTGACTTCCATTTTTGTACAAATTAAATTTATTTTTCTCTTTCTTTATTGCTTCAAGCTGTATTCCACCAAATCTTTTCTTAGGAAAAAAAAAATTATCTGCAAGGCCTCCCTGCTGGTTAATAATGTCACATAGCCAGGGGAGGGGCACTTGACAAAATGCTTAAACCTTCCAAATAATCTTGCTTATTCACTCCCTAATTGTGTTCCTAAAGTTTAGGTACTTAGTGAATTTTTAGTGGTAATTGGGGTGAGGGAGTGGAGGGAGAAACATCTGTGCATTTTTTTTCTCTCCTTTCTCTGCCTCCTCCCACCTAAGGATTAGAAACACTGTTTTACCTACGACGATTGTCTTTTGCTCTCATATTCCCCTTTTAGATATCTCACTCCACCTTGTCATTTGAATTTTGTTTTTCACTAGTCCCTCAAGTGTCTCATCTCCAGACTTCATAAAGGATTGGGCCAAAACTTTCAGACAGTTGCTCTAGAAGAAACTACATAAAGAAATTCGGTTCCCACATCCTCTGTAGTGTTTTTTCCTCTTCAGGTGAGCCAGGAAAACAGAAGATATTTGGAGCCACATTGGATCAGCATCTTGCTATAGATGTCTCAAGATTTGAAGTTCTAAACTTGCTTTACTGTTGGTCCCCAAGAGATTCAACAGGGGCCATGTAAGTGTATCACATCCAATATAAAAGATGCGTACCTGCATGTGCCTTTAGGTTCTTGCCACCACTTAGGTTTTCTTTGGGCCATTCAGCTTTCTGTATGAGGCTTTTACCTTCTGTTTTACTACTGTACCCAGTGATAGTCACCAAACCCTTGGTAGTTGTAGAATATTCATTACAGTAGGAAAGGAATTCTGCCATTCTGAACTTTGCCCACCTTGATAAAGCCTTTCCTTGGTTGTATTCTTTTTCAGATACTGTCTAAAGTCTTGAACATCTTGTCTTTTGGCTTTTTGGTGATTTAAAAATCATTTCCTCACAAAGATATTTATTAATTAATATTTATGTTTGAAAGTATGTAATTGGGTAAGACAGTTTGCTTAAAAAAGCTCCAAAGATAAAGAAGATGGAATGTAATCTTTAGTAACACCATTCCGTATTGCAAACTTGAGTTGTCTGAGAACGGATAGTATTTAATGGATTTTGTCCTCATCTTTTCTTTGCCAAATCATTCTCAATACACTCTATAAATCCAAATGTTTTGGTTAAAGACTAATTGAGTAGCAAATTTTGGGCATTTTAATGGTAATTTATTCATTTTCTGCACCTAAGTTCAGTCACAGATTTTTAAGAAACTAGTAATTATATTTACTGGGTGTTTACCTAGGTGTAGATGTATTGGTAACCTTATATATTTAAGTACACAAACTAGTTATCCTTATTTTTTAATATGTTAAAGAATAGTTTAATTTTTCCTTCTTTTATTATGCTTCATGAGATTCTTCTCAAATGAAAAGAATATTTCAAAAAACTAAGTCCCATTCCTTTGCACTCCCCTAAAAAACTTGTGCCGTTTTAGCCCAGACCTTCTGGAGGTTTAATCTTCCTTTTAGCTTGTATGGACAGGGAGTGTTAAAGTTATTTAGCAGGTTACTTCTCAAAAAGCTTGAGCTGTTTTTCATTTTATTCTTATGTCACCTGACAAGTTTTGCTAGATGCTTTTGATTATACCAAGACCTTAGTGTCTTTCCCCCTTCTTTATCTTCAGCATAAGAATTGAGGTAATACTTGACTACTTTCTCACAACTGGACTTCAAAATATAGAAGTGTGCATTGGGCAAATATAGGAAAATAGTAGAGAGACAATTTTTGTATTGATGTTTTAAAAATCATAATCTGTCATCCCAGTTGTTCCAGTTTAGATTCATGATTTTTAGTGAGGGAAAGATGTTGGTCTCAATTCTATTTTGACATACAAAACTGTTGATGATCTATTAGATAGTTGGCAAAAATGACTTTTCTGATTTTGCTACATTTTGCTTAGATTCATTGAATTAAATTGAACTATAAGTTGCCAAATAAGATATTCAGGATATAATTCCTTTTAAAGCATTAAATTTTGAGGCCTAGAACTGGGTTTCTGGATCTTAATCTAGGCTATACCTTGAATAGGTGTGTTTAAATGAGAAGTAATCAAAGAAATTAAATAACTGTCTCATGTAATGAACATCTTATGCCCGGTCATTATGTGACAGTCTAATTTGAACTTTCTAAAATATAAAATTATGAATTTCTAATATATTGATTCCTTGGTAATGCCTTAGCTTTCAAAGTACAAATTAGCATATGTAAAAGAAAGTGTCTTAAACAGAATTCACCAGTGATTTCTGCCTATAATCAAAATTACAAGGTAGAGATGGGATTTGTAAAACCAGTTGGTTGTAGGGTAAGTAGCCAGCCATTTTTCTATAAACTGTTAGCATATTTAGTAAGTGCATATCTTTTCATTAGATTAAAAACCAAACCTGGAGTTAGGTGGAGGGAACTCTGCCAGCTGTCAGAATATTAGCCCAAACAGTAAGATCATCAACGTGGCCTTTATCAGCCAGATACATAAAACACATCCAAGATTGTTTTTGGTCTAATTGAATTGTGATTTTGCTGTTAAAGTCACCTTTCCTAGTTTACTTCTTTCAATACATGAAAAATTCACATTTCTGTTTCTTTCTTAGTTCTCTGATACTGTCATCTTTGATAGGTTTTGGTCTCTTGATTGCTTATTTCTCTCTTTTATCCTCAAAGTAAAGAAGCTTCTTTGAGCTATTACTTCTTCCTTTTAATTATTAGGTTATAGGGTGCTGATAGGCTTTAGGTGTTTTTAGTAGTCTTTGAATATTAGTTACATTTCTTACAGAATATTTACCTTTTGCTGGGAGTTAATTTTTAGAGCTAGTGAAGAAGGGGATTTGAATATTCCATTTGATTCTAGATATGTTTCCTTTTTGTTTTGCTAATTCTTCTTTCAAAAGATATGAATCTTTCTTTTACTTCCTTCCAGAAGTCAACTTTTTTTTTAGAACAAATGTTTTAAAATACATTACAAGAAATTTTCCAAATGAAAGTTATAAAACGTGAATTTTGAAGACATTGTTGTGTGAAAAGTTTGTAAAATATTTCAGTATTCAGTTATTATAACCTAGAAAATCACTGTTTATTCCAGGCATTCTAGCAACATTTACTTCCTTCTAACGCCTGACAGTTATTTCTAGTATAGTTTTATCATAATGTTTTTATGATTGAGAAAAGGATTACACTTAAGCACAGAGTCCCATAGAGGATTCTTCTCTAGGCAGAAAAATTGGCTACCTGGGCAGGGGAAGTAAGGAAGTCCGAGATAGCCTTGAGGTTTCTAGTTTGACTCTGTAGAGGACATGTTGTTATATTCTACTTAAAAGCATTATTCTAATGATGTTGGAAAGATGGCATGCAAAAAATGTCAAATAAATGGTACAGACAAATGCTATAGGTGTTCAAGAAGGGTGAGGTTACTATGGCTAGGAGGTTTGAGGAAATCTTTAGGAAAGATGTGAGACATATGCTAGATTTTGAAGATTGAGTGGAATTTAGAAAAGCAAATGGGAGGGAGAAGACATTCCAATTACGGAGAGTAATGTTAACAAGTTGTTATTTGGGAACGGGCAAGGAATGAGGAGACAAGTTGGTTGGAGATCAGTCAGGGTTTTTATGGGAAAGAGTGGGAACTGTTCATGTTGTCAAAGGTTTCCTTAAATGTCAGCCTTTTAGAAGTTTTAAAAATATTATCATTTGCCTTATTTATAAGAAAAATTTGGGACAGACAAAATTAAAAAACAAACTCATAATTTCTTCTTTCTTTTACAACCACAACAGCATTTTCTTTCAGCATTTTTTTGCGTTTCTTTCAATATTTTTAATGCAAGAGCCCTGGTTGCACAGTGGTTAAGCACTAGGGTTTCTAACCGAAAGGTTGGAGATTTGAACCCACCAACTGCTCAAGGGGGGAGAAGACCTGGCAATCTGCTCCCATAAAGATTTGTGCCTAGGAAACCTTATAGGGCAGTTCTACTCTGTCCTATAGGGTCAGCATGAGTCAGAATCAACTCAAGGCACACAACAACAACATTTTAAATGCGTCTTTTGAAAGTGTAATGATGATCATAGTATGTATATACACCCTTTAAAATTTTCCTACATCACTATATTATGCATATTTTACCCAAGTTTTATGTAATTTTTGTGCTATAATTTCTAACTGGATATGTTCCATCAACTGATTAGCATATGATTTCTAACCATTTCCACACTGTGGAAGATTTAAGTTACTTTGAATTTTTTGCTATTATAGGTAGTACTACAATGAGTATCTGTATGCATATAAGTTCCTTCCTGTATTTTTCAATGTTTTCTGGGGCTAGATTCCCAGAAATATAATTTCTGTAAACATTTATGATTTTTGATATATAATGCCAAATTGATTTCCAAAGGGTTGTACTTAATTAAAAGTCTATCAACATATACCCAAGTTATGTGCA